AAGAGAAAGGGAGAGCGAGAAGTAAGGAGGAACATAGGCATGTGTGTTGCGCCGTCCCATAGACTGGTATGGTTGACGTTACCCTACCTTGGACTTTGGCCTAGGCGACTGCAGTGCACGCCTTCAGGGCCATGCTGAGATTAGAGCGGCTCTCCGGGACAACCCGGGCACAAGAACGCACATTCGATGCTTGCTGTCCTAGAGTCCTGGAGGGGTCGGGTGGTGCAGATCCTAAAGTCGTAATCTCCAACAGAGGGCAGGGACCAGATTCCTGAATATTCTGCTCCAGAAGCCGTAACGTGACACAGGCCGGAGTTCTGAACGGCTGGCACCAACTAAACTTTAGCAAAGGACTCTGCGTATACCAGCAGTGATCCCTGTGTCACTTTCCGTTCAACTCTATGAGGCCCTCCTCCTCTGGGCACCAAAGCGAACAAAACTTGGACCTGTCAGATATGTTAGATGCTCCCTTGAAGAAGGACTCAAAACTTTCCCGAACCTCCCCCCTAAACACCATAGACCCTAAACATCCCTAAACCCTACATAACTTTCAGAACCTGTAGTCCCTCAACCCTTCCCAGGCAGGGCAGTCCTTGTTGCGCATGAAAGCGACGCCTAGGTTCGCCTAAGCAAGACGAACCATCAAGTGCACCAGTCCTTGAACGCCTCAGTAGAAGCATGCTCTTGTATCATGAGACTCTCGAAGCATGCTCTTGATCATGAGACTCTCGATAGACCAATAAGCTCTCTAGCTGCGGTATCAGGGTTACCTTTCCATTGCCAATGATAGGATCAAGGTTGTCACAGTCTTGGCGCAGGGTGCAACAGACAACCCCGGATACACGACTCAATCATACACCGTGGGGCGCCTGGTTTAGGTAGCAAAAAAACTGTCGGGTAAGTTCCGAAACCTGGGTCGAAAACCCTCTCGAAGCCTTGACCGTCTTGAAAGCCCGGGGGCGCGAAGGAGCTGCAAATGTAAGGTCGCTAGCCTAAGATCCGGCTCTCAAACCCTGAACCTTGACCCCTGCTTTGGATTCCTGAAGAGGATGTCCAATGCAGCTGCCGAGAGGCGAAGGACACATGATCTCCGACAAACCTGCACACGAGCAGCCGGAGCAGGCCCGTCTGCCCCTTGCTTTAAAGGATGCCGTACAGTTTTGGGGGCCTAAGAAGGGACCCAAACTTGGAGAACTACCTCTACATTGGGAAGACGTAACGGTTGTACATCGCTGGCGCCTGGCTGCAGCCTTGAAGCTCTCAATGGCCTTGTGGCAAACAGAAAGGGCTGCAGGAGGGGTGTGTGGGTGTAAGGTTCGTCAATATGGCTTGATTACTTCAAAGACACTTGCAAGGGGGGATTCCAAACTCCAGGAAGCGTGGCATCACATCATGAACAATGGCACACGCACGCAATCGAACGCACATATGCAATACGCTCTGATGAGAGAGGAGCAGGCACAACTATCAAGCAAACGACGGGAGCTCACCACTCTATCCGTGGCTGCAGCCGATTTTCCTTGTGGTGGCACAAGATTTTGGCCTTCTTGGATGAGAATGCATAAGCTCCAGGTTGTATTCGCCAGGACGCTGGGACAAGGAAGTAGAGTTGCACATTGACTGGAAGACTTTTCAGTGCGCTGATATCGCTGGAAGGTTTGGTCAGATGATAACAGTAAGCATAGCAATAACAATACCAATAGTAACAATAATCATCATAACAGTAACAATAATGATACTGATAGGAGTAAGCGGGCAGTGTGCTCAGGCTTTCCGCTGCAAAGCCGCGGACTGTTTGCATCACTCTCGCAGACTCTCGTAGTGACACTCGAAGCAAGGCTAACGCCAGGCATGTGCGCACGTTGGGACGGTCTTTCCGAGCAGGAAAGACTTCTATCTCGTCACGCTTCAATCGGAATCCCTAGATCTCAAGCACCCGTGCACGGTAAAAGGTCCAGGACGAGCGACCTCTGGCAGTCGATTTGCATTCGCCAGTTCCTCTCAAGACAGGCAACGGGGTATAGGACTAGCTGTGTACAGAATCTCTAGAAATGCAAGTGTCCGGTGGCCAAGGCCGGAAATCATGCTTTAACTGCAGGGCCTTGGCTGTAGAACCTCCAAGATTGTATAAAGAAAGGCTTGCTGGGGCCTTTCGGCCTTCAGCTCTGGCTGTTTGGGACTTTATCTGAAGTTCTGCTTAGCTTTGAAGGGCTCCAGCCGTGCCCTAATCGGAAGCGCCGAAGGAACTTCGATGTTGCTTGCTCGAGCTTCTGAACATCGAGGACTCGCAATTCAAAAGTTGTGCCTTGGCGACGAAGTCGTGCTGGGCATTTGGATCATCCAGGTCGTAGCCCGGAGGCGGCACTGCGAGCGACATGTCGGCTGTGGTTGGGGAGCGGACCATCGAGGCACAGGTTGCAAACCATCTGTGCTTGTCGCGTTGCGGACAGAAGCTGTCCATCGTCATCATCATTGTCATCGTCATCATCATTATTACCGTCATCATCATCACCGTCATTGTCATCATCATGACCATGACAAATCAAGTTCCTGACACTGATAACGATAGTGGTACAGTAACGATGGTGGCAATGCGAATGAGAGTGTGGATGCTCATCGCCGTTCGCATTCGGAGGAGCTTCAAGGACCAATGGCGACAAAACTCCATACACACCTCAACACATAGTGGACCACTGTACACATCGTGAACTTGCACTTTAGAGGACATAGTGCCAGGACACCAGAGGACAGCCAGGATGGCGGTTCTGGAGGACGGATCGCACCGAAACAACAGTCCCTCTGGAGTTTGGCCGCACCGACTGAAAGAGCCTCTGTTTGTCAAGGCGGACGAAGGATGGCGAAATCACTGTCCCAATGGATTGTTTGCGCCATACACACATATGTACATGTACAGGTCCCCTACATACATCTGTACATTCGTACATGTATATGTAAATGCATGTAGCTATGACCATAAATATGCGTAAGCATACACACACACACACATATGCACACACACACACACATACAACTACACATAATCTCTATTCCCGAAGCAGTGTGGGTAACACGGAATCAGTTGGGATACCTTCACTGGGTGGTCTTGGAAGGAGGGCCTTGTGTTGTCTTCCAGTAGTGAACACTTTGGTCTTTCACAGTTGGGGAATGTGTATTTATGCAAGCACTCACATGTCCGACTTGTACGACCCACCTCTAAGCGTTGAGGAAGCGGAGTTTCGGAGATGGTGGATGCCGCAGGCTAGGATGTGGGAATGTCCCCGAGCTCGAGAACGAAACAAAACAGCCATGGATCCCTCGCGCCTTGTGCTGCCACAAGCGCCAAGATCAAAGCCGAGACCGAGACCTCAGAGGACCGGTTGACTTGATGGAGACAGACAATTCATGGAGCAGCTCTTGGATCTCACGTTGGCAAGCTGCCCTGTGAAGTATGGCTCTCTTCATTCGACGGAATTAGCGGATCGACCCTGACATAAGGTTCTTGACGTATTTTCGACTGTAAAACCATGAAGAAACCCTTAAACATGCCACTCTGTATTACTGTAAGTCCCCTAAAACAAACCTCACTCCCCCCGATCCCTGGAGATCCACACTTGGCCAAGGGCTCTGAAGCCATGCCAGGCAACGCCCATGGCAGGAAGGAGAGAGCTATATAGGTCTCTGGGTATAGTCCTGAAATGATTTTCGGTACACGGCTATCACATCCCTGATGTGAGCCCCTTTGCTCTTTAAAGCTGGGAACTCTCTGAGGCTTGCGGTTAGGGGTTTCGCACAGGCTGAAGTTAAGGCTGCGCCGTAATTCGACTGCCGGGGTGCTGGGTTCCTGCGAACGCGATCCTCGTCCTGTACACGTTCAGACTGAGGTTTTGGGTTGCATCTTGATGGTGGGATAAAAATTCAGGTTTTCGTGCATATGTTGTAGTACCGAATCGCAGTGAGCCTTTCTTTGTGTAGAAGGCGCAGGTGACGTCACGCATGCTTCAGCAGCCCCAACAAGGTTCACAGAGCTCAGAACTTTTCTCGGCCGGAAACTGGGAATTTCGGATCCTCGTTTTGCTCCAGGCTGAACAAAGCCCCTCATTCACTGTGTGTAACATACGTGCGTAATGTCCCAAACACTGGACCCCAGCGCACAAAGACGAACCACCACCCCCGCCGCCAACGCTACAACTACAACCCGCACCGCCACCATCACGACGACGACGGCCCGCACCACTACGACTACGACGGCGACTCCTACTACAACAGTCGCAGTGGTGTCAAATCAACAGATTTCTGGAGCAGGAATCGAAGTAGCCCCATGCCGTATGCATGGCGATCCTTTCATAGGGTATATTGACAAGTTCATTGCCGGTGTCAACAGAGTTGCAAACTAGTTCGAGCGATAGCAGAGCTACAAGCACAACAGCAGCAAGTACTTCCGCCTAAAGGATTGCAAAGGCTTTGAGCTAAAGGCTAGACCAGGCACTCATCTTTGTAGACGGAGAAACATGCAATAGCAACTATCTGCACAGCGGCGCGAAAAAAACACTATCAACAACGCTGCCACTGCAGCCGCAAATAGCGACGACAGTTAATAGCCTTAACACGTGTTTGAGCATTCGAGCGGCCACAGCCAAACCCGAAAGTTGAAGCTGAAGGCGCAACACATCTTGCGCTGCTTTTTCTCACTGGCCAAAAAGATCGAGCAATTCATGGAGCTCATCTAACAGAGCTCTTGAAACCATCACTGAATGTGACTTGCCAGGTTTTCTCCTGGCATTGACAGGGTATGTGCTGGAGATTTAACCAGAAAACAACCTGTATAACTTCCATGCGGATGATCTGACGGTGGTCTTGAGGTGAAAGCTGGTCAGGCTTTCTCCTGCACAGACTCCGTAGGTGCTCAAGTCCGAGATTGAAAAATACACTGGCAAACTAATAAAGCCCCAACAGTTGGTTGGACACACGAAGCTGCGCAATTACCACATACATTGCTGGTCTCAGGCACAGTGAACTCGGTCATGGAAGTCCTCACACTCCAGTGCCAGGATGATGTGGCCCACATCTGACGAAAATGTCCCGAGTCCTTCACAGGGCAAGGCTTTCCGACACGGCGCTCTGGAAGACCTGAACTTTGAAGGTAACCTTCCGTAACCCTCAGGTTTGCGGCTTGTTGTTGAGGGTTCCTACACCCTAAAGCTTAAGAATGCCTAGGAGCCCGAAGAACCTCAACAGGCTTTTCTGTTTGCGGATTTCCCTTCTCCACAGAATCGCCGACGGAGCCTTAAACTTGTACCAGGCTTCTAAGGAATTACTTGGAGCAAGTAGGTGTAGGGGCACAAATGTTGAACTTGTATCACTCGCCCTGCATGCTGACGCCTGTTTAGCTCTGTCTACGCTCATGTTGCTATATGCTGCTATGCAAATACTCGCATTGCGTTTTTTCTGGGCATACTATCTTTCTGTACGTCAACTTTGAATCCCCAAATCTTCACATGTGTCACGCCTGCGCCATCGTCCACGACTGGCGCATGAGGGTGAGACCTTGGTGGTCAAGGCTTCGGGTTCGGGGATTTCCCAAACCCGTAAACTTAAACCCCCTATAGGCCCCAAGCCCAAACGTCAAATCAAAGCGCTCACAAGCTTTCTGGGATTCACTGGATAGCTTGCAAGGGTCTTTCAGTTCATCGTTCTCGTCGAGGCTTTCCAGGATTTCCAGTTTAGGCCCCATGCTCGTGTCCGCAAGCGATGGATGCGAATTAATATTGTCGGACGGCATCATGATATAGACGTTTGTCACAGTTCGAACTCCCTCGTAACAGAAAGATCCATCTAGGGAGGGCATGTATTGATAGAGCAGGATCGGTGCTCTCTGAAACCTCGGATTTTGCTAGGTCAAAGTTCGGCAATTGAAACTGAAACGCAAAACCTAAATCTTCTCTGTTCCAGATTCACTATGGCCGTACGCACAACGAACACTTCGAGGCTAACAAGTTCATTCGTTGCAAGCAGGCAACACCATGAAACTGTGAACTAGTGTATCCGAAACCGTCTTTGACTAGAAGGATGCTACAAGGAGCCAAGCAGCAGAAACAGAGCTTCGTGGCCGCAGGTTGCCGGTGAACGTCTCTGGCGCTCGCCTCGAATTTCCAGACTGACTTTCCGGGAGGGGTTGTGGCACAGGGCCGGGCTCGGGACCAGTCGCGCTACCGAAACTCAAATAAGCACGTAGCTCCGAAATCTGCTTCAAAGGCTAGTGTGGGTGGTGGTGCCGCTGATGATCGCACCTCTGATGTTCGGATGGATTGATGGATCATCTTGGATGGCGCAGTGGTGGCAACTGTGTATATATATATATATATATACGTATATATATATATATATATATATATATTTATACATACATATATATATATATATATATATATATAACCTGGATCTGACCTGCTGCTGCGTCGATGTCGTTGCCACCATCAGTTGTTCCGTGTCTTCCGCGCCGGAGGCGAACTCTTCGGCGTCTGGATGCCGGACGCAGCTGCCATTGTTGCTCCTTCAGACTTCGTCTTTGAGTATTGAAACTCGAGTGATTCGGTTTGGAGGTCAGGGTGTTTGAGACCCAACTGGGACATGCAGGTAAAAACTGCCTAGTTCCGCGGCCGAACCAGAAATCTGTTACAATACATCTCGAACGTAAGCAGCTGCAGCTGCACCGAAGCCTACCTCAAGAGCGGTGTCTATGTCGTTCTGGTATGAAATCGACAAGCAGTAGACAGATCCAGAGACCTGCTTCTGGAATCCTGAAGTCCCAGCCGACATGCCAAACCCTAAACTAGTAACTAGCAGCAGCTTGGCTGTGACACCACTGAGAACTAGCCTGTGGTGATGATGGCAAGCCCTTTGTCACACTTTTTCTCGGTGAGCTTCCGTAGGATCTAGGATTTTCGAGCGGTCAAAGTTCATGGTTCTCGGCCTGGTTTCTGGCTTCTGGACAAAAACGATTTTGCACCCATGATCGGAAACGTCGCCTGCTTGTATGGAGAACTGGAAGAAATAGCCTTGGTATTCGATGTAAGTGCAGTCGTTCCTAGAAAGTTCTTCAAGCCCTCATATTCGATTCTCGTGTGCTGCACAACGGCCTTTGACACACGACAGGTTTTCGGGAGCAGCACTGATCCAAGCAGTGGTGCCAACACAAGGTCTCGGACAAGACGTCCACGGTTTCTAGGTCATGACAAATGCTACCTCATCAGAGCAACAGCTGAAGAAGTAGCCAAAACAACAGCTGACATGCCAGAATATAGGAGCCTGAACAACCAGAATACGGAGTTGGGGCGTATCATAGTTTTCCCGGCTTGTGCAAACAAAGAACCATTCGAGTTAGAGTCATGACATGAACCGAAGTGGTCGTGAGTCGAATTGTCAGCCTCGAAGCTCCAAACGCTACAGACCTAATTCCAAACCTACAGCCCCCAAAGTGCCTGAGTTTCGAAATCCTGAAGCCTCAAACTCTGGTATGAAAGCATCAGCCTACATCAAGTCCTGAAACCACGGGTCTCTGACGTGGAGTGTAAGCCGGCACAGCTTCGGGGCAGCGAGGTTCAAATAATCAATAAAGTGGCGGGCATACCTGGGCCCAGGAAACCAAAGTAGGGACCCCGAAAAAGAGTAGCCCCGTTAGGGTCCAGGGCTTGTTTTGGATCTCGTCTTGGGCTTGTTAGGCTCGGACTCGGGAGTCTGTCGCAGGAGCCGTAATCGTTAGAATGGGGCTGTAGGGTATATTATATGGCCCTGCACGTGTAATAAGGAACCCTCAGGAATAAGATTCACTTTGTGATTATTCAGGCTTCTAGAATAAAGTTTGTTTTGTTTGTGTCAGGGTGGCTCCAATGTCAAGCCGCAGAGGAGAGTCGCTAGGTTGCAAGGAAGGCTTCGTCAGTGTTCCCATTGCATATCGGCCGTCGAACCGCGACCCAAACTCCAAACAAACATCTAAGCCCGCAATAGGGCCATGATGCAATCCTAAGCTTCCCTAGACACTTCGGCCTCCTGATGACGTTTGACTTTGTGTGCAGGCATTGCCTGCGGTGCGGGGTACTCATCCCTGACTTATCTCATTAGACACCAGGTCAACAGATCCACCAAAGCATGCCCACTGTGCAGTGAGGTTGCCTGTGCGATAAAGCTGCATTGTGGGCACAGCATCTTCAAGCCTTCTTCAGCTCCATTTTTGCCCAGCGCATCGAACTTCAGATGTTGCAGATCGGTTCCGGTTGCCCCGGCCCTAAATGCTACACGCTTTGCCAGGAAGCCTCACCCCAGCATGAGGAGACATAACCCCGCTTAGTCAAGTCGCCATTTACAGGCTGCTGTCCGAATCGTCGCTACACCAAACTTGGCTATGCAGCCGAAGAAGAACATGAACCCTGTACGACAAGCCCTGAACCCTACAGCTGCAAGACATGCCTCAGGCCGACGGAATGTGCAGGCCATGCTTATTAAGCTTCTCATCAGCAGTTCTTATTTGAGGCCTTCTGCAGGCCTCGATGGTCCCGATAAACGAAAAACCAAATCCCGTGATCTTTGCATGAAACACTCAGAAGCACGACGGCCGTTGCGTATAGCACCATAAATGAAACGCTCTAAGTTCGACGTCTGGACTGGCAGAGCTCACTTTTCGGACACCTGAGCAAGATCTGGCGGCGCACGGTTCAGCGACAGGGCGCAATACGAAATTGTGCGATTTGGCACTGAAGTCGTTCATGCACTGACTTGAACCAAGTCTTTGGCAGTGTAAAAAAAATCTGGGCAAAAGCCTTGTTGTCGGGCCTTGGCCCAATCCTTCTGGAACTTGTCCACGAGAGCTCGCTCTGAGTTCTCCTGTTTCAGCGGCTTCAGGTCTTCATTCTGTTTGTGGTTTAGGGTTTAAGGTTTAGGGTTTAGGGTTTAGGGTTCGACCACCAAAAACGGGAGCTGAGGGCTTTGGATTTGGGGCTTGGGACATCTCCTGAGACGTTGAAGACTTCGGGTCGCGTGGCTTCAGATTTCTGGTGCCACCCACGGCATACCCACAGTTCTCATCCGCATGAAGAGCTGGGCATGCCGACAAATTCTCAGACAGATAGACAGACGGGCACGCAGGCAGGCAGTCGCATAGATAGATAGATAGATAGATAGAAAGACATAGGTAGATAGACAACTAGAGAGGTAGATAGACAAATACATCGGTAGATACGCACAATTAACTACATACCAAACATGCGCATAAACGTACATAAATACATACGTGCCGTTACATGCCTACAAGCATACGTACATCTATCCATCCATCCATCCATCCATCCATCCATCCATCCATGCACAAATTCAGACATACATAAATACATACCTACATACCTGTGTGTATATGTGTATACATGCATGCATACATGCATCCATCCATGTATGTGTACATACATGCATGCACATTGTCTACGATGACACGCCTTGGGCGTGACCTTCCAGCCGTAGGAGCAGCCTCTGTGGTCGTCGAAGGCATGGACGAAGCAAGATTCAGAAAACGAGCTTGCGATGTCTCTACACCCAAAGCGCTTAAAGGAGCCCGTGCAGGGAACCGTAAAGGAACCATGCGGAAGGTGCAAGGGTTTAGGTTAACCCTCAAACCACACACACCGCAGGCACAGGCTACTTATTTTACTCACCTCGTGCCAAAAGGGGCTACCAAGTACAGCTATACAACGGCAGTAGTCAGAACATGCTTTATATCCTGACACCCCTCCATGGCCAGCTGAATCCTTGAGCTGGACAGCTGACCTGCACTACTCACGGGTTGCAGTCTGTACAAGGACCAAAGCCTCTTTGCGTAGCCTCAGCCCTCTGCAACGTGTACGGGTTTTGGCCCAGGTGTCTACAGTGTCTCCTATGAAACTTCTTGCCCTTACGGGTGACGTAGACGGGGCTACCCGCATTCGCCTCTAGACCTCGTCGGTCCACGCGGCCTCCAGCTGTAGGGGCCGGCTTCGTTGAAATACGTGGCGTGGTCCACCACACAAACGCAAACTTGATCCATCGCCAAATGGTCTGGATCGCCAAGATATGGATGATCAGCATGTAGATGAAGAAGGAAACGTCTTCAGTCTCGAGCTGGCGCTCCTTCGGCTGCCCCGTAGCCACGCCAAAGGACGCGAACAGGCACGCCATGACCAAGCCCCTTGTGAGAGGCATGCCCTTGACTAGCTCTGTCACTCTTGAGCCTGAAAGAGCTTTCGTGCCCAAGTCGGCCCAGTTACTCTTCGTAGGTTCCTTCTGCACCGTAAGCTGCTTTCTCTGAACACAGTCCTGTATCCAAAGCTCCTTCATGGACAAGTGCTTCACCTTGCCCGAGCCCTTGCGTGTCGCGATTCCCTTCGCTGCGCTCGAATCGGTTCTCAGGGTAAGCTTCAAACCCTTAAACCCAATCCGTTCCCAGATCTGCGCTGTCAGCAGTCCGGCGGCAGCTCCTCGCACCAACGCGTAAAACTCAGCCTCTCCAGAGCTGAGCGCTATCACCGATTGCTTGGCACACGAAGCATCGATGAGATGCTTCCCAAATCTCTCAGCGTAGCTGGACATAGACTTGCGCGTGCGCTTGCACGCTCCCCAGTCCGAGTCCGTAAGCACCACAGCTTCCTCAGGCTGCTCCTGGTACTCGTAGTGCCAAACTTCCTTCGGGTACTTCAGAAGGTAACGGCCTAGGTGCTTGAGCTTGAGCTCGTGCTCAACCGTAGGCTTTGCCATGCCAGAGGTGATCTCCGACAAGGCATACTGGATCGTCGGGCGATCCTGGGACAGGTAAAGCGCAGTACCAGCGAGTCTCCGGAACTTCGCTGCAGCCTCAGCGTCCAAAGGATCTTCGAGATCCCTGCGGCCTTTTCCACATTCCGTAGAACATGGGGCGTCTGCGCTCTTAGCGTCCGTAAGCCCGAGCTCCTCAACGATCTGCCGCGAGTACTTAGGATCAGCTTCCCAGGTGAACCCGCGCTCGCTCCATCGAATGATGCGGTGCAGATGATCGCCATGCGTGGTCTGGCCTCCAAACTCCTCAGGGCCAATCCGTGGCAATATCTTGCTCTCAAAGGATTGCATCATCAGCGCATCCAGTCGATCCAGATCGTCGCTTTCGCCCTCAGCGATAAAGTCGTCGCCGTGGCAGCTCAAGGTCACGCACCACTCGTCGTGGTAGAAGAGGCCAGGGATTCCTGGAACCTCCCAGAAACCTGCCTCCGTCATGACCTCACACACGCGCTTTGACCACTGTCGCGAAGCCTCACGTGTGCCATTCATGGCTTTGAGCAAGTACCAGAGCTTCGATTGATCGAGATCTTTCGGAGGGACGACCGCAATTTTGCCCGTGGCCACCGCATGAAAGAAGGCAACAGAAACATCATACCGGGCAATAAGCTTGCGCCGGTTGGTCCTGCCAGCCTTTGCAGTGGCTGCAGCTGAAAGTACCATGCGGTGCGTTCGCAACGGCGGTGTTCCACTGAAAACGTCGTCGCGCTCGTGGTCGTTGATCTCTTGGGCTACGCAGCGGCTGCGCACCCCATTCGGATCATTGGGCAATGGTTTCCAACCATCCACCCACCGGCTTCGGACTATCTTTAGCCCCTGCCGTCGCGCCTCCTCCCAAGAGATGTCCTTCTTGACAGAGTGTTCCTCCATCTTGTCCAGCTCGCGCCCTCTTGCAGTCTTGACCTTGTCAACGGGAAGGGGCTGGCCTGTTCGCTCGTCGTAGGCACCAAGCTCCTCCACTCTGCCGTCCAGAGGGTAAGCAAACAAAGGCTCCCACTCGCCTTTCTCGTGGAGCGTGGGCAGTCCCCCCATCAACTCCTGGTCCTCAAGAGGACGCTTTTCACCTCTTGCTTCTGGCGTCTTCTGCTTCTTCGCTCCCTGCGAGCTCTTTCCAGTAACGCGGCGCTGCCCGCTGTCACTTGAAGGAGCGGGGACACCCGCATCCTCAACCTCTCGCTTCTGGCCTGACTTAGCCTCAGAGGTCCCCTCCATGGCCCTTGGCCTTGAAGGCTGACTCGGCTCGGTGCTTCCCGACTCCAAGTCTTGGCCGGTGCCCTGGGGCATCTCGGCCTGACCTCCTTCAGTCTCCATGGGTCCCGCAGGCGTCCCAGGGACTGGTGTACCAGGCGTTCCTGGCACCGGTTGCCTCGGGTACAGCTTCTCGAACCTCTTACGGCACTCGTCGTTGTGCCGCTTTGGGTTGTCATCGTCACACTCACAGCCAGGACATCCGGGTGTCTTGCCGTGCTTGATCTGACGCTCCAAGGTGATATACACCGAGGGCTGCCTGCGACCTGGAGTCGCTGGGGCCTTGTTGTCTGAAGGCACGGTGGTTGGCTCTCCGCGCGGTTGCCAGGGAAGCCCAACCATCCCCTCGAGGTGTTTCAGCTCCCACCTCTTCTCTTCTGGCCTTCGCCAGATGCTTCTGCACCGACGGATCCCCTGAGCAGTGCCCAGGAAGTGCTCGTCGGAGGCAAGAGACTTGCCTAGCCAAACTCCAACTGACGTTTGCTTGTCCAGCTTGCCAGTCTTCTCTTTGTCAAGCTTGTAGTGCACGACCTCGCAGCACTCAGCAACTTCACCGCGGAAGTCCCGGCCTCGAAGCCTTTCGTAAGGTGTTCTCCCGTCCTGCTTCACCAAGAAACGGGAGATGAGCCACCCTGCGTGCCGCACCAACCACGGAAAGACAACCCCCTCAGTCTCCAGGGGCTTCTTGTAGCGATTCTCCAGCGCGCTCGCAAGAGTTCGCACCTGACGCGCCAGCTCCAAAATGGCTCGCTCGGCCGCGCCGTTAGATGCGTGAGAACCTTTCGGTGCAGTCTGGTGCTGCACGCTGCCAGTCCAGGACTTGGCGGCACTTTCAGCAAGTGCCCGGATGCTATGCTCAGCATCGCTCAT